TTGCCGTCATGCCTACTATCTACAGTTCTCACGATTGACAAATTGACACTATAGCTGATACTCGTCATATAGCTCAGGTCTTTCAAAGAATTCTGGTACAATTACGTGTACTGCCATCAAACTCAAGGCAGTTTTTGAAATGTGATAAAACTTCCAATAAAGATTATATAGCGCCTTGATAAGCGTCACAACAAACAAGCATAACTTCCCTTTAAAAAAATATTTATTTTGTTTATAAACCAGAACTTCCAAATATTAACAAAATTTTAGTTCAATTGGTTCATCTGATAAAAAAAGGTAAAGCGACTCGTAATCGATGTTTCTTGCCGCGTAACGACGGCTTATATCTCATTGCGTCGCCAAAAAGTGTGAAAACTCGTCCGTCAAGGATAAATTGTAAAGCTGTACCCTGCTTCGGGATCACTGAAAAATAGTCGATTTTAATGGTTTTGAGGGAATCAAGAAGAGAATGGTACTGTAAGGCTTAGAAACAATATAGAATTAGAAAACTACTTACCAACATATTTATCCTCTTTCGTTATCAACTGAAAAGTTTGCCGTGTCTCAAGCAGAATGATTCCGACAATTCCTACCTTAAGATACTTCCAACATTTTCTTCATTTTTCATCTACAAGTTATTAATTATACCATAGTGGGATTATGAGCTTCAGCGACTAGCACCAATGCTCCATGATAGTCTGCTTTCAGCATTCGCTCGTCTGGAGCCTTTTGTTGATCGCCTAATAGGCTTCGATAATACTCACACCACATTTGATACAACGGCTCCACTTGTGCATATCTGAAGTGTGACTATTAAGGGATTTTGAGATAGCATTCATAAGGTTGAGCTCAAACGTACAAACGCTGATTTTGCAAAAGTTTTTTCATCTAATGCTTAGGATACTAATTTTGAAAACAAAAAGAATCGCTTCTTATCAATGATAAAAGATGTTTGGAGTAATATATTATACAATATATCTGAACTAGCATAAAGCATTCAGGTAACAAAGGGGAAGTTCCGTAGACGATTCCAGCCACAGTATAGCTGAGAAAAAACTGAATTAGAATGGCGAAAAAGGAAAAAAATCGATCTAAAACCTCACGGACTTCCCCTTCGCTAACGCGAAATGCTATCTGTTTTTCATCTATCTCTATGCTTAAACATGACCAGAATGAATAGGGAACTAGCCAGTTTTCAATGATTCTGTTGCAAAATCATGGCAGAAAGCAGCTAACTTACTTCAGCGCTTTTTTATCCTCATCGGTAAGTGCGCTCCTCGTGAAATTGGTCTTCTTGAATTTCTTCGGATTCCTTTTATGGCGATGTGTCTTTTCCAAATGTAATACACCTAACCGTTGCTCCTCATCCTGTTTAGTCATATTCTGAAAAGCAATTTTCTTCTTATCGTTTAATACAAAAAAACCTTTACTCAAGCCATTTTTTCGACAAAATATAAGAAACTAGTTTAATTTGTAGACTATAAAGCACTTAGAAAGACTTAACAAATGCCAAATTCCTAACTTGCTTCTTCTAACAATCTATTCACCCATCGCCTACCATGCTCATCGCTAGATAACTGGCAAAAGAAATGCTTTGTGTATGCTCTAGCAGCTTGTTCAAAGTAGCATTAATATCGCATTTTGCGCTGCATTATGTAAAAGACGGGGCATGCCTTTTCCCACTTATGTTATCTACTGTGAAGTCACAATTTCCATCGATATACACCTGTAAACACTTCAACTTGCTGATAAATTACTGTCATGAGAAGAAAATAAGGACTGGCGAGCGAACTGCAACACTATCTTTGATGTACACCATTGGCAAAACAGTATCATTTTGAGGAAAAATGAAGCAACCTACTTCCCTAAATATTTATTCGTAAACACCGTAACCGAAAGCAATCTTGTAACAATCGCTTTAGCAAATCATGAAACGGCCCAGCTGAATTAGTATAACAGTTACGATAACAATCAGATTAAATGCTACAGCGAAAAATGAACAGTAAAAAGTAAAAGAAACACTACAGCTAAACTAAATTAATACGTCAAACAACCATGAAAGTAATCTAGGCACTGACTAGACGGTGTTCTTAAATCAAGTACAACGATAAATTCAATTTAAACAACAAAACTCTACAGGAAACGAACCGTTCACTAAAGGAACGATTACGGCGATAGGATAATAATATTATGTTAAATTTTGAGTCATTACCATAATGAGCGTTACACTGTATTTTACAATTGTGACAAACATAATCCAGCACTTTAATAAATAGCAAAATGTGTGACCGTTTAACCAAGCAAAATTTTTAAGCTAAGGTAGGTACATTACATTTGCACAATCACAGTAAAATTCGAAATAGCAGTCAAAGCTGATCTGTGGCCATAACGAGAATGGGTGTAAAATAACTATTTTACAGTGCAGATGTAGCTGCTGTCCTCTTTTTCAACTCAGCTTCAACAGCTCGTAGTTGTTCCATCAACTCACGTTTTCGTCTTTCTTTCTCAGTCATCCCTGGGAACAGCGATACATTCGTAAAATGCGAATGAATCAATTAAAAAGTTATGGGTAGAGAATACAATGAAGAGTAAAGAATAAACTTTGAAAAAAAA